GTTGAGTTTAGTTATTTTTAGAAGTAATAGTTTATAGCAGGTTTGTTTTCGTAACTGTGTATTCAATTGTTGTGAATTGCTAGAAACTTCTTAGTATTCACGTTGTTTCAATTGAGTACTATTACATCATAATATCATATAGTGTATAGAACGTTCAAGGCCTCTGTCAGGCTATAAATAGTGGTACAAAATGTAGTTCGAGAAGTAAGTTTTAGTTAATTAGGTAGATAGATGGATAGACCTAGATGGCGTGATTGTGAGTTTAGCATAATGACGATTTCTGAAGTGCATTATCACATACTGTATTGTAATAACAGAGAATAAAAGAAATAATTTGTCTTGTCATTTGAGTTGTAAAGTAACTGAATCAACCTGTGTCGACTTTGACGAAAAGTGATAATTATTTAAAACTCGGGATACAACTGTGGTAACCAACAGTATAAAGAACATTTGTATATACGTTTGACTTGTTTTAATATATTGTTTAAAAGAGGACTATTTGTTTATTGTAGAAATTTATCGCCAACAAGTCACAGACACCTACTGTAAAGAATCTGGACCATATATACATATAAATTTGACACCAAAGTTATAAGTAAAACTAAGAAACACGCTTTTAGGCAAGGTAGAGTAATTCATTCATATGCATTTAGATTTGCATAAGGTGAAGGCAGGAGAGAGCTATGCCTTTCCAACAACGTTATTCAGTCAGTCAAATAGGCAGATTGACAAATTTGTGTTTTTACTCAACCGACTTTTTCAAATGCTATGGTTGTTTGTTACTCAGCAGTTGGTTTGTATAGTATGTGTAAAGTGTTTATAAAGTTTTGTTTACATGCTGTTTGCAGTGTGTTGGAGATTTTAATTTATATTGCACATCTAGTCATTTCCTACTATAACTACTCCCGTACTTATGAAATTCAAAAATAGTTCTGCACTTCCATCCAGATCGAAATGGTACATCCCTTTTTCTGAAAGAGTTCAAATGACAAAAACGGATCATTAGTGAAGAAAAGCAACAATAACAACAAACTAACTCCGTAGCCTAGGCTTGATCCCGGCCTAGTATGCTCTGCACTTCCAGCTCTTATAACCGTGATAGCCAATCCTGTTATTTGTTGTTAGAGTCGTCACACAGGAAGTTGGTTCTGCTAACTGTTTTTCTTCTTTTTGTAAACAGTTTAAACTTAGGGTTGGTTTCGCTTAATCTCGTGTAATCTCACCTAGCTGTACACTACCAATCTTTTATTCAGTATCGAAGATATGCTAATTTTCTTCCTCTTCTGCACGTGCTCATGACGTAGGTTGCAGCATGTATGCTAGAATAATGTTTTTATCGTAGTGGATTGTTGGAATAAGACGTAAGCATTGTTTCACAATTTTTGTTATAGCGGAGGAATTACCTTTTAAAACGATTGTAACTTTAGAAATAGTAATTGAAACTAGTTTTTGGTCAAAACAAATTATTCCGGTTCGAAGTAGTTAAGGGTACTGCGGATCACAAACGGAAATAGGTGGTGAAAGTTTAAACTGCTTGCACCTAAAGGACGAAAAATGTTAAACATATATATATCTAAACGACGAAAAATGTTAAATATATATATACACCTAAACGATGAAGAAAGTTAAACATATATACCTAAACGATGAAGAAAGTTAAACATATATATATATTTTGTTTAAACAAGACC